CGCATACGATAGAAAGATGATAATCATCGCTTACGTTTCACAAAAAAAGTAAAAGAAAGGCGTATAAGAAAACCGAAAAAAGACAAGAACAAATAAGAGCCCACAACACGGAAAACAAAAAAACAAATGTGAAAAATAGAAAAGAGAAAAGTGTAACCGATACACAGTTCGTTGGAAAGTATTGAAAGAACGTCATAGAAGGACACACATTAGCGATGGCATTTCATTATAAAACTGATGAGCAACGAGAGCGAGAGCGAGAGAGTGAGGGATATATGTCTAGAGAGAGAGAGAGGCAGAGAGGGCTTGGGAGCTGATATGAGCACGAGTAGCATTTGCCACGTCATGGGGGCTTAGCCAAAGGTCGTAGGCCAAAAAACAAAGCCGAATAACGGAATGAAAACAAGATTACAAAAAAAAGACAGAAATAAGCAAAAATGCCAACAAAAACAAAAACAGATAAACAACAACAAAAATGTAAAAGACACAAATAACGGGAAAGCAAAATCGAATAGTGGGCAAGTTAAAGGAGTCGCAGTCGCTGGCTAAAACAAATACGCCCACGCAGCACAAAAAAGAATAAAAATATATAACGGTTAAACGTTCAGCGCGCTGCGCGGCTGTGCGGCTGTGGCTGCGGCCAGCGCTAAAGCTCTGTGGCTAGGGCTGCTGCTGCCGCTGTCACTGCTGCTGTCGCTGTGAAAGTTGCGGCTTATTTATGAATTATATTTATGCACAGTCAAGCTCCAACAACAGCAGCAACAACAACAGGCAGCGACTACGACGGCAACAACACCAACAACAGGCAGCAAGCATAGCACGTGTCGCAAAACTCCCGTTTGCTAATGCATACATACATATGTATGTATGTATGTAAGTCTCTGTGTGTGTGCTCGTCCTTTACAAATATTTCAAGTCACAATCGGTTACACTGATTAACAGAAGATTGCGGTTACTCTTCAATTGAATTCAATTTGATTTGGCCATWATATAATTTGTTTTTATGTTTCTTGTTTTGGTAGTAGTAGTAGTAGCAATTGTTGTTGTAGTAGTATGTAAATATATATAGTAAATATATGTAGGTAGTTACTTGTTATGCATACGATATACGATTTCTAGAGCAATGCAGGCGTTAGTTCAATCCATATTGGAAGCTTAATAAATACAATGTACGAGTAAAGAGTAAAACTCTCTTACAGCTGTACTAAATACAATACAACACAACACGACACACAATACACACGCACACACACACACGTACACACATACACACGCACAGACGTACAATACGCACAACATACATACATACAACACACACCTGCACAATAGCCTAAAAAATTAATCAAAAATATATATGTAATACACAGACTTAAGTTAAAAGAATGTAAAAGTAAAAAGTTAAACTAAAGTATTTTTATTGTTATTATTATTATTTGGGTAGATGGTCACACTGAAAAGTGCATAGCAAGCAAAAACTCGCAATTATCAATTATCGTCAGAGTACTTAGTGATGGGCTAATGGAGTGCAACGTTGCTATCGAAATGAAGTGTTATCGATATTGTATACGACAGCAGGAGAAAGAGATAGAGAGAGAGAGAGAGCAGACAGAGAGAGAGACAAAGAGAGAGACAGTTCGAGAGAGACAGAATTGTGTGTATTTTTTGTTTTTATTTTTATTGAGATTGTTAAAGCTAAGCATACGAATTATATATATTAATATTAGCAAAAGTAAAATAATTAAATACTACGCAAGGCAATAAAAAAAAGGAAGTTTGTATAAGATATGATAAAATGTAAACATAACTAATTTAGCTAAATGGACTACAAATTGAGCACGAGCAGAGAATCTTAAGGATTTTATTTATTTGTTCGTTCGCCTTTCGTTTCAGTCGACTGCAGCTACACTTAAAAAGTCGCGAGAGCGAGCGGGACAGCTATCGTTTTTAATACCTACTAATTCACGCACGCACACACACGCACACAAAACGGCAAATGCAATCGCCAATGGAATATCATTCAAAATAAAAACCAGAGAGAGCGAGACAGAGGGAGCGAGAGAGGGAGAGAGAGAGCGAGAGCGAGAGAGACAATTCGCATCAGCTGGAATTATGTATAAATGTAAATAAAATTGAGCTGCATGCAGAAATTATATTTCAGCACGTGATATGAGCACAGTCGCTCATTGTGTATGTGTGTGGGTGTGTGTGTGCGTGTGAATGGCGGTGGATTGTATTGAGACAGAGAGAGAGAGAGATACACTCACACTCACACACACACACGCTTTGGCATGCACAGCTGCAAAAGTTAACGAAAGAAGATACAAAACACGTATTGGTTGATGGGTGCAGCTGCTCGCTGTTTGTGTGTGTGTGTTTATGAATGTGTGTGTGTGTGTGCGTGCTGTGCTTAAGCCCCATTCTGAATGCAAGTTGCAAAAAATAAACTTTTGAGCAATTCATTTTGCTCAATAAAGATACAGTTACAAAGTACTTTGGGATTTTTTTTTTTTTTTTTTTTTTTTTTTTTTTTTTTT